AATGATTATTTAAGAGTTTCATATTTTATAGTTTTTTCTATTTTATTTAAAAAACAGTGTGTTTATTAATAGTTGGTCCCTGGTTTTTGAAAATAAACCAACACATCCTCCAAAACCCCGATTAATTGGGGATTTTTTCTTACAAGGAAACTTTATACCAAAAATAAAACAGCTTGATTTAGTCTGGTCCCTAGTTTATGATTTGGTCCCTGGTTTTTCCTGTATCTGTACTATAAATTTACTATAAAACTTAATTACTATAAATTTACCATAAATATTGATCTATAATTAAATTCAGATATTCGCGTCCCCCTCGAGATTTAATTAAATTATGATAAAATATAGTTTAAAATAAGTGCCCCTAAATCCACATAATTTATATACTACTGTGATTTTTTTTCAGTTTGAAAAAAAATAGAAAAAAACGTCAGTTCACAAACTGCGAAGCACTATTTTACATTTTGTGCCATTTTGAAAAACCAATTTAAATTTTAATTATTTTTTTTAAATTATTAATTTATAACAAAATTACTTGTTGTTTAGCGTTTGTCTGTGATTAAATCTATTTTTGGAAAAAGTTCTATTTTTAATGGTAAATTAATAATAAAAAGATAACTCGTTATATAATTTTTAAAATGCGAAGTACAGGAATAATAGAAAGGAGGACGTCCTTAACAGCGGGAAAACGTATTAAAACCACAAGAACAATTTTGGTTCCATTTTTCCTTCTTACGTCCCCATTTCCGTCCTTCCTCTTAATAAACATTATTATAAAATTATTATATAATTCCATTCCAAGAAACGTCAAAAATTTGAAATTATTAATTATTATGAATAATAAAAAAACTAGAATTAATACTATTGTAAACTAAATATAATTTTTGAAGTTAGTGTTAATAGTAAAACAATAGTTCAATTATCATACGTATTTGAATCTTTTTGAGAAGTCCAAAAGAAGACAATAACAGTGAAAATTTGTGTGACGAAGAAAACAGCCCAAAACATAGCGTTACTCGGTGTTGGTGTTTTTAGATCCATTTCGTCAAATGCCTTCAATCCCAAAACGGATTTGACGGCTTCTTCTGTTTGTTTCAAATCAATTGTCTCAATTTGTGATTGCACATCATTAATATTAATCTTTTCTTTTCTACTTGTCATTTCAATACTAACTAATACTTACCTACACTTAATAGAATTGAAATGAGAAACAAGATTGCTCAAAACGAAAAGAGAACAAACACATCCCCACATTTTGGGAGTAACGTGTCTTTGACGTAATGTTTCAGTGATTTTGAGTTTTCAACGTATGACGTTTCTGTGTTTCGGATATTTTTGAGTGATGCATATAAAAATCCCATCCCCTCATACATTTTAAATAAAGAATCCGTGTCACTGAGCCCTTTCATATCTTTCGACTCAAAACTTTTCATCCCTTTTTTAATTTTTTTTTCCTCTTTGATTGGCACAACTAAAATCGAAGAAAA